TGGAGAACTGCCCATGAGAACAGGAGCCTCCCTGTCTGGGAGCAGCGGGCGGTCAGGGGCCAGGTGTTCACTTTCTGGCATGCTCACAGCCAGAGAGCTCTGAGGGTTCCCAAAGCCCAGCTGCAGCTGAGGCCCTAACCTTCAGGGCACGGCCTCTGCCTTCTCCCTAGTGCTCCCCAAAGCAGATCCTCAACAAACTGGACTCCCCCCAGCCCTGCCTTAGGTTCTGCTTCTGGCAACCAGAACAGAGGTCTTCCTCCCGCTCCCCCACTTCCCTGGGGGCTTTCCAGGTGTCCCCTGCTTTCTGATTTTGTCCCTGTAGCCCTCTTTATGGATCCCCACCCCTCACCCAACATCCAGAGATGTTCCCCGCCCTAGGATGCGATCAGGGATCCAGCTAACTGTGCTCCTGTTGTGAGTTCCCAGTGCGCACTGCAAGGCTTGGCACGCCGTGTCTGTTCAATAAATGCTTGTCAAATGGCTGAATAAAGAAACAGCTGGATGAGTTGGAGATTGGGAGCTGGCCACGGGTAAGGCCACCGGTTCTTCTCATCCACACCCAGCCCTTACTTCATGATGCCACAGTAGCTGCCAAAGCACCTGCCATCTTCTCCACAGGCAGCCAAGGCCAAGGCAGGAAAAGGTTCACACATAGCCCACTTAAGAGTGAAGTCATTCCCAGGAGATCCCGGGCCTCTGGGTAAAACTGTTCATCTGACTGACCACCCGCACACTCCATGTCCAGCCTTAGCTTACCGCTGAAGCGTAAGGTGTTTAGCTTAGGCAAATCATTGAGGGTGTCCTCACTCACTCATTGAGAGGATCTAGCTGGCCCCAGGCTGTGGAGCCCCCTGAACGGGGACTTTTCCAGTGTCCCTGGAACTGAGGAATCCTTGTCTGCCCTATGTCCCTGGGAGCCCTTGGCAGTGGGTGTGGGAGGGGAGAGGAGTCGTGGCAGGGGCATCAAGCAGATCCCTGGCCAAATGCCTTCACCCGGTAGGTATTTAGAGAGCCAAAAATGGAAAGCTAGCAGGCCATTGGAGGAGAACACAGGGACCAGATAGACAGCGGGGAGAGACAGAGACAGAGAGAGAGATATGAGAGACATGAGGGCGGGGAGAGGAGAAAAGCTAAAAGGGAGAGGGGAGAGAGGCAAAAGTCCTGGTGAGAATGGAGACCCCACCCAGACAACCCACACTGTCACCTGCCCTCCCCACAGCAACAACGGCCCTTCCACAGGATTGCCCTCAGACATTGCTCTCTGAAATGACCATGGGCCCTGTGACATCTGTGACATCTGTGACCATGGCCTTGTGCAACAGGAGAACCATGACCTCAGAGAGCACGAGAAGGCTGGTACCCAGGTCACAGCAGGCAGTGGAGGGAGGGCCTGTGTGGCAGAGTATCAGGTAAATGCTCCACTGGCTGGGAGGGGCTCGCGATATTCAGGGTACAGACTACAGCTCTGGGTACCACAAGAGCCACCTGCTCAATAACTACAGCTACTGGGGCCTGTGTGCTCCCCAGATGGAGTGCTAGCCTTGGAGAGGAGGGCCACTTGAATACCATTGTCCTTCTATTTTATAGAGGCAGAAATGGCTTTAGAGATATCTGGGTCTTCTAGAGAGAGCAGGCATGGGACAGGGTGATCCAGAACCTTGCTATCCAGGAGTCTGGGCTGGCTGTGCATTGATGCCTTCTGGCTGAGTGCCTGCTTGCCCGTGGTTATTTGTTTGCTGTTGAGACAGGGCCTAATGCAGCCAGAAATGGTCTTGAGCGCCTGCTCCTCCTGCTTCCACCTCTGAGTGCTGGGGTGACAGGTGCGAGCCGCCATACCCAGGGCTTCACGAATGCTAGGTCAGCACCCTACCCGTGGAGCCACACCCCCAGTCCCTCGCCCACCTGTACAATGGACATTAGCATCTCCGGCATTGACACACAGATTGAATGAGATGACATACAGCCAGAGCCTGGTGCAGCAAGTGCTCAGCACACGTTGACTGAGACTTGGCCGAACGGAGACGTTGAGCCCTGGCCCTGGTGCTGAGGCTGTGTGTCTTCCCATGAAAGCTCAGTCCCGGATGGATGCTCAGAATTTTAGTCTCTATGGGTTTAAAGAGACACGTGTGGCCTATTGTGATGTCCCTCTGGCCTCCTGTTGGCTGTGGTCACCCACTGGGCTAGTTGTGAAAGCCCTTTCTCTCTCCCCACTGTTGATAAAGCAGGGAACTCACTAGGCTTGTGCCATCCTGTGGTTAGTCCCTTGCCCCTTTCCTGCCTGGAGGCCTGGGCAGAACCAGCTCCTCATTCTCTCTCAAGAAGGCTCAATGGGTCTGGTAGGGGCTTTGGGGGGAGTGGGTGAGGACAGGCTGGGTCCTCCACCATCTGCTGCCCTTGGCAATGGTGGCTCCAGCTTTCCAGTGTCCTGGCGGGACTCTAGTGCCTTGTCCCAGCTCTTGCTCTGCTTGCATGAACTGAGCTTCCTCTCCCACCCCGTCCAGGGCAGTGGCCAGCCACTCGGGTCTCTGTTGTCACTTTCTTTCTTACTGTCCACGTGCAGTCAGAGGGTCCCTCTCTGCTTAGGACCTTCTTGGGCTCCCACCTCAGAGCAAGACCCCAGGACTTTTCAAAGGCTGCAGAACCCTCGCCTGGACAAGATGGCCTCCTGAACTTTGGCTTCTCCAGTGCTCTGTCTCCCTTGCTCTGTTAGCTCCAGCCACCTTGGCTCTCGCCTGCAGCCCACAGGGCTGATGGGACCTCAGCCCCTTTGCACCTGCTGCTGGCCTGTTCCTCTCCACTCACTCACAGGGCCGGCTTTGCTATTCTCTTCAGTCTCATCTTGTGTCCTCAGTTATGTGTCACCTCCACTGTCACCTGGCCCTCCTGTCATTTTTCACTAGCTGCCATCATTTTTATAAGCTATACTATCTGTTTAACGTCCCTGTCCCTCCCGGGAATGTCACCGTCCTCACACACAGGGACGATGGTCTGTTGTGTTCACGTGTTCGGCAGCCCTGCTCAGGACTCTGCAAGCCAGACACTGGCTGAATAGGAGATGGGGTGGGAGCTGTTGGTGGCCCTGTCACTGCAGCAGACATCTCCAGTGCAGCTTCTCTGACTGACAGCTTGAGAATGGAACCCGAGACGGATGTCACCTTCCTTCAGGTTCGGTGCACTACGTCATAGGCCAGGAACTCTCCGCTTGCCCACCTTCCCATTCTGGCTTGCTTTGTTTCTGTATTGTCTTCTCCCCGAAAGGGCCAGCTGAGGACACCCTGTGGGGTGGGTCAGTGACAGGTCTGCATGGACACTTCGAAGAGCAAGACAGTCCTGGTCTGCCAGGTCTGCAAAGTCAGAGGAAGAAGGAAGGGAGCCGCGTGGCTCGTGAGACGACACACGGGCGCTAATGATACGGTGTTATAATGGGCACACGAAGTGCGCTAATCTGATATTCCAAGAGTGTGTGTGTGTGTGTGTGTGTGTGTGTTACAATAGATATAATCAGACTGTAGTTAGCTAAGCCACTCTCCACCTATCTGCACACTCCACCAAGATCTTTATCAGCCTCCTTAATTAAGAGCCCAGAGAAGCTAGGCAGCCCACAGCCCAGCTCCAGGGAGTCCTGCCCAGCAGGCCCTCCCTAAGCTGGGATAATAGCTACCCCCACATGGCGGGCGAGGCCGTGATGCCTGCCCTATCCCAGCCTGTCCCAGGCTTGGAGGCCTGGGGAGTCAGCCGTACCTGCCATTCAGGACTGCAGCAGGCAGCCCCTGGGCCAGGCCAGCATGGAGATGTACTGGGTCTGGGGCGTGTGGCTTATGTTGTAAGTTTACTTGCTTGGGCCACGCTGAAACTCAGGCTACGTTCTGGCTTCCCTGAAACTGTGGGAAGCTAAGAGACTGATGTCCTTAGATAGGTCAGGGTCACATTCACCTAATGCCGGTCCATTGGAAGATCCCTGCCCGGAGCCTGTAGGCCACGGAGCTCGAAGGCTCTGCTCTGGTGTGCAGATCTGAGACGCGTTTACAAGATGGGCCACGAGGTTCAGAAGAGCCAAGTGAATTCAGTGACTTCTACTCAGGCTGGGATGTAGGGACTGGGACCGAGGGACCACGGTGACACACAGGCAGTTCCCTGCTGCATAGCCAGACTGGAGTCATTACAGCTGTGCCGCAGTATTTGCTGATGACGGATCCTTTCTGATCTCCTAGAGGTAGGGGAAGCAGGTCCCACAGTGGAAGGGCTAGGGAGTGGGGATGGAGAGTGGGTTTGAGAAGACCAAGAGATTGGACTGCCATTTTGGAAAGAAGCTCAGCAATCTCATGGCACTGACCCTCAGCCTGGGTTGCAGAAAGGAGGAAGTGGCGATGTAGGGATGGGAGCCCAGAGAGAAGGCTTAGTGTTTTATGCCACACAGAGCCTGTCCTGTTGAAACGAAGATGAATCCAGTAAATATACTCCCACCCTGCCTGAACTCAGGACGTGGCGGTCCCAATGCTAAAATGCCAAGGCTGCCTACTCCAGGAAGAAGGCTTTGGCTCCACCAACTGGAAACGGAGATTTCACCATTAGCTCCCCTACTCCATAGTGCCTCCCCTGGCATGGAGGAAGAACTGCAGTCTGGACCCCCCCCCCACCCTCAAGGTTCTCAGACTTGGACCTTGCTAGGGTCACTCTGACCCAAACTGGCCAGTATGGGGCAGACAGACTCCTGGGACCCACATCTGAAAAGCATCCGGCACTCAGTGGCCAGCTCCCCACTGACTCGGGAGACTGAATAACAGACTCAGTCATCATGTGCTTTTACTAAAAATAAACTTGACATACTTTTGCATTGGGAAAGAACGCGGATTCCAAGCATTCTCAAAGGGCAGAGAGGGGGAAAAAGAAAGAATGGAAATCGGGGTTTTGGCTTAGTAATTAATTAGAGCCTGTAAACAAATGATTCATGCCTTTTTCCTGGCTTTTTCTTTTCTTTCCATTTTCGTGTTCTTTCATAGGGACAGGAGGAAGGAGGCCAAGAGAACAGACCTGGTCAGAGGGGCCGGACTCAAGACTGGACGTGCTAGCAAGCCTTGGCCAACTGTAAAGGGATGGGGCATTCAGTCTTCAGGTGGAGGTGACACCTGGCAATATGTTCAAAGGACATATGAGGGGCTGGAGTGGAGGATCAGGGGATGAGGTCACACGGGTTCCCAAGAGGTAGGCTTGCTGTGCTGTCACACTTAATCCTGAGGACAGAGGAGCCATGGTGGACTTTGAGCTAAGAAGGAGCGTCATTGCCGTCCAGCCCACACAGAGGAGGACCAGAGTGTACATTCTTTTTTGTTTGTTTGCTTTTTTTGGTTTTTGTTTTTCAAGACAGAGTTTCTCTGTGTATCTTTGCCTGTCCTGAAACTCGCTCTGTAGACCAGGCCGGCCTCAAACTCACAGAGATTTTCCTGCCTCTGCTTCTGAGTGCTGGGATTAAAGGCATGCGCCACCACTGCCCTGCTGGGGCCACCCTGATGCTGATGCTGTGTTGCTGAGGTTTCCCAGGCCAGTGAACACCTAGCAGCCACATTTCTCAAAGGGTTGTATGTTCACGTCTGTCTTTTTCCTACAGCACACTAGTCAGTGATATCAGGGACACTGACCTGCTCCATTTGCTCCTGTGTTCACAGGGCTCAGGATGTGTTTGCCGCCTTCCCCTAAGGCCAGGGCGGAGAGGTCTCCCAAGGTCAGCATGGGACGGTACCGGGGAGAGGCAGCTTTTATTAAATTCAAACTCAGGGTAAGTTTTATGATTGGAAAATTCTGCACTGGGCTGAGATCCACAGCAATGGAGGCACACAGGCAGAGCCTCCAGCACCAGCCTTCCTAGCCCCCTCTCTGCTTTGAACAGTCTCTGCGCTATGTCATAGGCCCCACCTAACAAAGACCTGGGAGGCTGGTATGTTATAGCCACTGCTTAGGAAAATGAGTCCCAGGGAGCATTGGTATAGCCACAGGGACTGGTTACAGGTGGGGACCTGGCATGGAGTCCAGTTCTGATTGGGGTGTCCTCTTTGAATCTTTTATTTTTCTTTTTAAAAATAGTTTATTTAACTTTATCTTATGTGCGTTGGTGTGAAGGTGTCAGATCCCCTGGAACTGGAGCTACAGACAGCTGTGAACTGCCATGTGGGTGCTGAGAATTGAGCCCGGGTCTTCTGGAAGAATAGCCGGTGCTCTTAACCACTGAGCCATCTCTCCAGCCCCCTTGAAGTTTTCATTTGAGGCAAATGTTGGTTCCGGCACCCGTTCTGACACAGAGGTGCTGTGTGTCCTGGGATAAAATGCTTTGCCTTTCTGAGTTCCAGCGTTCTCCTTTAAGTGGGCAGACATATACTTGTTGATGCGGGGCTGGGTGGAGCCTGGGGGAGGGGCGTCAGAGCTGCCACAAGGAATGCGGTCTTCAGGGCCCTGTGCAGGTGTTCTGCCCTCAGGCCTTCCTGGCCGGTGACTTGTCTTCATTCAGCGTTTCACGGAGTCTATCCTCCACCTACCCACCCACCCAGGGTTGATTCACCCAGGTTGCGAGCCTCTTTCCTTCTGCCTGAGTGTTCTTCCTCCTTTTTCTTAGTAAAACCGCTGCCTTCCCCGATTGCCAAAGCTCCTGTCAGGGAACAGGCAGGCGTAAGGGTGGGGTGGGGGGGGGGACTCTGTCAGCCCACAGAATCAGCTCCCCAGTTTCCCCATCCCACTCACCCTCACCTCGAGGACTGAAGTCACCAGGCGTGAGCTTAGGGCTGGGGACATGAGGGTTTAGGTCATCATCATGGGGTAGAGAGCTCTGTCTGGAGTTCCTTTGAGGGGGGCAGCTAGGCTGGTGGGGGGGAAGCTAGGCTGCTTGGGGGGAAGCTAGGCAGGTGGGAAAGTCAGGGCAAGCCAGAGTAGGACGCCGGGAAAGCTGACACTCACTGTACCAGGCGTACAAGTGTGTGAGCAGGCTCACCCAGGTGCAGAGGGGAAGCAGAGTGGGGGTGCCGCCTGGGGATGGGAGAAGCCCTCGGGGGGCTGTCTCACGGAGAGGCAGCTGCTAGTGGGGTGCTCTAGGAAAGGAGAGGTATCGAGGAATGAGCACTAATGGACGCACATTAATAAACCGTGCTTGTGAGCCTGGTGCCACACATCTTTAATCCCAGCCCTCAGGAGGCAGAGGCATAAGGATCTCTGTGAGTTTGAGGTCAGCCTGGCCTACAGCATGAGCTCCAGGTGAGCCAGGGATGTGAGACCCTGTCTTAAACGTCTATAAAAAAAAAGTGTGCAAGTGAGCATGTGTCTGGGTTGTTCACCAAGTCCACTTGACACCGAGGCCATGGTAGAAGGGTTGTGCCTTGTGGGGAGTGAGCCTAGAGGCAGGTGTGTGGAGGGAAGAGCCGGGCCTGGTGTGGGAGGAGCTCTCCTGGGCCTGCTTCTCAGCTCTGTTGTCTCACTGTCAAGTGGATCAAGTTCCCACACTAAGTCTGCTTCTTCCTGTGGGGCGCAGCCTCCCCCCCCCCCCCCCGCCTGCCGGTGCTCACTGAGAGGCCTCGAATGGACGGAGGAGACGGAGCTCCTCGATGCTGAGCCGACTTTCCAACTTTCCGACTTTCCAACTTTCCGACTTTCCAACTTTCCGACTTTCCGATGCGAGCTGCGTGTGATCAGGAGGTGACAGATTGTCCTCACAGCATGAGCACTGTAAATGCTGGTGGCGTGCAGGATGGTGAAGAGCACAGCTTGAGAGTGGAGCACTTGCTACAAGGACCTGCGTTCGAATCCTCAGAACACATAAACTTGGACTCATCAGCATGCCCTATCATCCTTGTTCTTCTGTGGAGGAAGGGCAGGCAGAGGCAGGAGACTCCCCTGAAGCTCATGGGCTAACCAGTCTGGCATGGACAGCAATGAGCAAAAGACAGAGCCTGTCTCATACATGGTGGAAGTTGGGAACCAGTGCCCAAAGCTGTCATCTGACCTCCACACGCGTGTTCGGAGTGGTGGCGCTGGTGGCGCACGCCTTTAATCCCAGCACTCAGGTGGTGGGTCTCTGTGAGTTCGAGGCCAGCCTTATCTACAGAGTGAGTTCCAGGACAGCCAGGGCTACACAGAGAAACCCTGTCTTGAGAAACCAAACACCAAACCAAATCAAACCAGATAAACCAAACCACAGAGTGTCTCAAACTTGAGTGTCTGAGAATGACTCTGACCTGTGAGCTGCATCAGGGACAGGAGGACACAAGACTGGACCTTCTGACGTGGTACCTGCTGCACAGTTAGAATGGGCAAACTTGGAGTCTGTTTTCCTCAGAACCCTAGTGAGGCTGCTGTACAGACCAGATCAGGTGATTTATTGTGAGGCAGGGTTGTTCTCCCTTGTGTGTGAGAGAGATGATGTCACCAGCCTAAACAAGCATTCAGGGTGTTTGACCTTGGCTCTATCTTCCTGATATAGAGGTCTTAGGGTACATTTACTGGATGGGATGTCTCTCAAGAGCGTAACATGTGCCAAGAGAAGAAACAGCCTTGGTGGAGGTTCTGGGCTCAGTGTGTTCAGGACCCCATTCCAGACTGGGGAGGAGAGTGGTTTTGTGTGCATGGGGGCTGACTTGGGGTCAGGGAGGGTGTCCTCCAGCAGACCCAGAATAACCCAGTCCCCACTGCCGTTGCCTGGCTATTCCACCACCGTTACCGTGCCTTTCCCCCAGCTGTCCACATTCTGAACTTCCTTCCTGTGTGCAGAGGTTCTCTGTTCTGTTTGTTTGAGTGAGTAAGGATACCATTTTGCTTCCCTTGCAGCTAGACCATGGACATGTGACTCAGCTTGGTCAATCAAATGCATCATCCTGGACCTGTAGGACATGTGTTTTGTCTTCTTTCAGAGGCCTTCATCTATGCAGGCAGGTTATGGAACTTCTCTACTCCAAATTTTCCCATGGCTCTCTGTACCCCCCAGGGTAGAACTTATGATCCTCTTCAGGTACCTGGCTGATCTCATGTTCTTCTGAGGGTTTCCAATTGCCAAACTCAGCATCAGAGTACTTACTTTCTTATGCTATGCACTAGCTGGTCTCTGGTTATTTCCATGTTACATGTGTGATGTGGGATTCACCTCTGTATGTTGTGAATATGTTTTATCACCATTGGTTAATAAAGAAGCTGCTTTGGCCTATAGTAGGATAGAATAATGCCAGGCAGGAAATCTGAACAGAGATATATATAGAGAGAAGGTGGAGTCAGGCAGATACCATGTAACTGTCGAAGGAGAAGGATACCAGAACCTTATCAGTAGGCCACAACCTTGTGGTGATACACAGATTAATTGAAATGGGTTAATTTAAGATATAAGAGCTAGCTAGGAATATGCCTAAGCTATTGGCCAAGCAGTGTTGTAATTAATATAGTTTCTGTGTGATTATTTGGATCTGGGCAGTCAGGAAATGAATGCACAGTTTCTGTCTACACACGCGAGGGTGTGGAACTGGACTGGGGACCCAGGGCCTGCATGCTGGAGGCAGAATAGGAGAAGAGACAGGATGGCCTATGAAACATCACCAGACAGGCAATCTGTCTGAAGCTTTAGCAGCCTGCAGGGTGACTAAGCAACAGTTGCCTGGAAGTGCCCTGAACGGGGAGCAAAGGGAGGCTGAGTTTTCTTTGATTTTTATGGTGTTGGTTTTGGAAGCTAAGGCCTTGAGCATGCTGGGTAGCTGCTCTAGCACTGAGCTACTGAGACTTAGCCTCTTTCTCTTCTTCAGGAATAGTGGTTCACTAGACCCAGTTTAATTTACCTTATTTAGGCTTAATGATGCAGACTTGTAATCACAGCTGAGGCAGGAAGATTGTAAATTCAAGGCCAGCCTGGGCAACTTAATAAGACCCCATGTAAAAATACAGAGTGAGAAAATGCAGGTATTGTAACTAAGTAGTAGAGCACTTGGCTGGCCCGTATGAAGACCAGAATTCAGTTCCTAGTACCATAACCAACTAACAACCGACCAACCAAACAACCAAACAACCAATCAACAAACCAGTCGACCAATCAACCAACCAACCAATGATCAACGAACTAGCCAACCAGTCAACCAATCAATCAACCAATGAACCAACAACTGACAACCAAACAATCAGTCAAACAACCAATTGACTACCCAACCAGTCAACTAATCAACTAATAACTGAACAACCAACCAAACAACTAAACAACCAACCAACTAAATAACCAATTGACCAACGAACTAAATAACCAACCAACTAAACAACACAAACAAACAAAAAAACCAACCAACCAACCAAACCAAACAACTGAAAAAAAAACATAATCAATCAATCAATCAATCAATCAATCAACCAAACAACCACCAAAAAACCAAAACCCAAAGCAAAACTTTGCTTTCATGTGATTTGATTCAACTCAACAAAGTTTGCTGCTGAGCTGCGCTCTCATTGGCCACATTTATTTCTTGCATCACTCCTTCTGCAGGCAAGGCTCAGCCCCCACCACGGGTAGTCCCCTAAGGCTGTACTTCTAGCTGGCTGCTGCTATCCTGGACTCTCCTCACCTCAGCTCACCCTGGCTCAGACCCTCAAGCTGCCTCACTGCTTGCCTCAGCTCACCTTGGGTTAGTTTGCTGGCTCCCTTCACTTGGGTCCACCCTGTCAACTTATCCTAGCATGGCTCCACCCATCTGCTCAGCTCAGCCATGCTCACAGCTCTGCTTGCTTACCTCGTCTATTCACCTCACTGCTGTCTGCCTCCCCAGACACCCCCTGGGCCTTGCAGCAAAGAGGGACTTTGGGTTAAGATGGCTCAGTAGGAAATGGTGGTTGCTACCAAGTCTGACTACCTGGGTTTCATCCTTGGGACCTACATGATGGAGGAAGAAAACTGACTCCTGCAAGTTGTCTTCTGACTTCCACATGAGTGCTTTCTTTACACACACACACACACACACACACACACACACACACACACATGCACATATGCACACAATACATAATTGAAAAAGATAGGGGCTTTCAATCTGGTCCTGGGGTTCCTGTGTGGGTGGGACGTGGGAACCTGAGGGTACAGGTGAGCAAGCTCAGCTTCCTTGGGGAGCCAGGATGGTCTCTCATAGAAGGAAGAGCTGGTGTAGGCAGAGTGTGGGAGAGAAA